CCTTGCCCAGGGAGCCAGGGGCAGCCACAGCTTCTCTGGGCACCCTGTGCCAGGGCCTCAGCACCCTCACAGGGAAGGATTTTTTCTATATATTTAATCTAAATCTCCCCTCTTTTAGTTTAAAGCCATTCCCCCTTGTCCTGTCACTCCCTGCCCTTGTCACCAGCCCCTCTCCAGCTTTCCTGGAGCCCCTGCAGGGACTGGAAGGGGCTCTAAGGTCTCCCCGCAGCCTTCTCTTCTCCAGGCTGAACCACCCCAAATCTCTCAGCCTGTCTCCATAGCAGAGGTGCTCCAGCCCTCAGATCATCTCCGTGGCCTCCTCTGGACTCGCTCCAACAGCTCCATGTCCTTCTTGTGCTGGGGACCCCCGAGCTGGACGCAGCACTGCAGGGGGGTCTCAGCAGAGGGGAGTAGAGGGGCAGAATCCTCTCCCTCGACCTGCTGGTCACGCTGCTGGACACGCAGCCCAGGACACGGTTGGCTTTCTGGGCTGCAAGTGCACATTGCCGGGTCATGCTGAGCTTCTCATCAATCAACACCCCCAAGTCCTTCTCCTCAGGGCTGCTCTCAATCCATTGTGAGAGATGGTAATTAATTTATTCCAGGGATGACATAGACTAGGGCATTGGATATAAGGCAACATATTGTGAGTGGCTCTAAAAATAAGGCCACGGTGGCATGGATGTGTTGGAGAAGGGAAAGCTGGCTGGAAATGTTGGGGGGGCGGGTAACAGAGGATAGAAGTCCAGAGCAACGGTCTTGTGAATGCTGCAAGCAAGGCAGGGCTCTTCTGCCTGTGGTTTTCAGGGCAGAAGAAAAGGTTTTGTATACTTGAGACCTGAATATGGACAAGTGTTTTAGCTATAGGGCCTGGTCTAGGTACTGTATGTTAAATGTAGACCACACATACGGCTCCGGAGAATTGGAGTGGGTAACTGAGGCCCGTGGCCAAGATGTCAGGTGATAACGGTGTTACACCTGCAGACTGAGAGGTAAAGGGGAGCTTGGGAGAGAGGATTAAATCAGTTTTAACGTAGAGCTTGATGTGATGCTAAGACATTCGCAAGAAGATGTGGGGAAGAACAGGTCAGTATTTTCACTTGAACAGGAAGAAATTCCTCTACAGCAGAGAAGATGGTGTGAACTAGCTGTTTAGAAACTGTAAATGAGATCACTGTATATGAAAAGACAGGATTCCTGTAGGGACTGCCCAAAAACTGAGAGCAGGAACAAGGAAGAACATGTTAGGGACATGCTGAAGAAAGGGGATTGAATTACAAGGGGACAATGCTGAAGAAACCAGAAAAGACCAGATTGAGAAAGCCACCTCTGAAGCTGAAGGAGACGACAGGCCAGCGGGATGAGGCTATTAAAGCACAGTTGCCTGTTTGTCCCCTTGCTACTGGGGTCACAGGTCTTTCAACAGAGAGATCCCAAGCTTGCATGTAACACAGCACCAGCTCGTTTGTAGCTCTTTTTGTCTTCGTTACTTGGCATAATGATGGCAGAGGCTGTATGGATTGCTAGGGCATGTCTTTGGTGAAGAAGAGGTGGTTTGGTTTTGTCTCCATTTCTAGTAGATGAATTACTAAAGAAACAAGACTCCATCCCAGTGTGGCTGAGTCCCAGCAGGAGCAGCGCAGAACATGGTGCTGACTTCTGAGCGGAGCAGAGCTCTGGGACATCGGGGAAGGGCGGAACTGACCCACACAAGGTGGGAAGCTCAAGGGAGCTTTCCTTCTCTTGCAGGAAAGCAGGAAGTTCTTCCACAGGTTCTAGAGAGTTTTCCTCCTCTCAGAAATGAGGCAGCGGTGCGTGTCCTGCGAGGGCGGATGAAGGGGATCCAAGGCCACTGTAATTCCTGCTATATGGATGCAGCTCTCTTCAGGTAAGGACCTGCTTGGGTGGTGCTGTTTCGTTAAATGAGTGCTTTTTTTTAATTGGGCAGAGCCCAAAAGGGCAGCACTTCCCTGGACTCCAAGGTGGCTGGAAATTTACCCAGTATAAAGCAAAATATAACTGTGTGGAGTTGCAGCCTTGATGCTTACTGCTTTTTGATCTGCTTCCTAAACTGGTAGGTTCTCAGGGCCCAAAATACCCCTCGTGAGTACCTAAGGTACCCGTGTGTCTTGTCACGCAGGGCAGTGAGAGATCGTAGCTCTGGAGTTGGACCGTGCTGACTCTGTGGCGGGAGGTAGTGGCTGGAAACATTTCAAAGAAACTGCCCAAGAGGTCCCAGCTTCACTGTGCAACGCTCTTTGGAGAGGGAAAGACTCAGTGGTGCCCCCCCCATGAGCAGTTTTGGCTGCAAAGTATGAGATTTCATTCTTTTTGAGCTGTTTCCTTGCTTACTACCAGTGTAAACGAGATGTGGTTTATCTCACTGCAGAGATGCGCTGTCGCTCACCTTTCTGTAATTGCATGCACGGACTGTTGAAAACAAAAGCCACCGACTGTCACCAGGCACAACAGTTTGGTTCTAACTATTGCTGCAAACCCGTCAGGCTTACACGGCACGCTCTTTTTCACAGCCTCTTCTCCTGTACGTCCGTGCTGGACTCTATGCTCTTCAAGCCCTTCCTACTGTGTGACAGGAACGTACAGAGCATTCTGCGGGATGAAATTGTTAATCCCCTTCGAAAGTGAGTATAGTATGTGGGAATCCTGGAAGTCATCCGTCTGCCTTCATACCTTCTCTGCTGCCCTGTCAGATGGTACCTGTCACTGAGGGAAGGGGCTATCTGGAGGGGTTTCTCCTGTCAGCCACATCCAAATGTCTTAATATCAAGTTTCTCTTCCAGTTGGTCCCTTCCTTGGGTTGTGAGGCTGTCACGACTCCTGCTGCATGTGTGTGTCTGCCCTGCTTAGACTGAAGCCTTGTGAGCTGCAGTTCTCAGAGGACAAAAAGGGTATTCCCGGGGCTCAGACCATCTCTGGGGGGTGAACCCTGGCGTTGATGAAGCAGCGGCATTGCCTTCATCAGCAGCTAGTCCCAAAGGCAGTATGCAATGCCAGGCTGGATGAGGGTAGACCATGGCATGAAAGCTAAATTCTTTGGAATTTGTCTCAAAGATGCCAGGTTCTTTCCTCATCCTCCCTAGCGAGGTGTGGAAGAGAGGCATGGAGAGGTGATTGAACATAAGACACTAGCATCTTCCTTGAGGAGCAGTGTCCTGGCACTGGCTGCAGAAATACAACCCTGGGGTGTTCTGTGATGTTGAGATTTGATTGAGAGCAGTTCGGCAGAGAAGGACTTGGGGATGAAAAATTGGACATGACCCAGCAATGTGCGCTTGCAGCCCAGAAAGCCAATTGTCTTCTGGGCCACATACAAAGCAGCGTGACCAGCAGGTCGAGGGAGGGGATTCTGCCCCTCTACTCCGCTCTGGTGAGACCCCCCTGCAGTGCTGCGTCCAGCTCGGGGGTCCCCAGCACAAGAAGGACATGGAGCTGTTGGAGCGAGTCCAGAGGAGGCCACGGAGATGCTGCGAGGGCTGGAGCACCTCTGCTCTGGAGACAGGCTGAGAGAGTTGGGGTGGTTCAGCCTGGAGACCTTATTGCAGCCTTCCAATATAGAAATGGGGCTTATAAGAGTGATGAAGAGAGAATTATTATTAAGGTCTGTAGTGACAGTTTTAAACTGAAAGGTCAGATTTAGGTCGGACATGAACAAATTTGTTAAGATGAGGGTGCTGAGGCCCTGGCACAGGTTGCCCAGAGAAGCTGTGGCTGCCCCTGGATCCCTGGAAGTGTTCGAGGCCAGGTTGGATGGGGCTTTGGGTAACCTGGTATAGTGAACAATTGTCCCTGCCCATGGCAGCAAGGTTGAACTCTAGATGATCTTTAAAACTCCTTTCCAACCCAAACCATTCAATGATTCTATGATTTAAATACACTGGAGAGATAATCGGCAACTGCTTCTTGTTTCTAGGACTGGCTTCGTCAGGGCTAGGAGTGTGATGCACCTTAGGGAGCAGCTAACTGAAAAGGGCCAGTGTTCAAGCTTTACCAACGCTGAGAAAGGTAACGTGCTCTCTGGGGCCTTCCCTGGGCTGCTTCGCTGTGCGCCGCTTCATCCAGGCACCAGGCTGACAACTTAATTGTATGCTTCTCCCAGGCACGTGCATTAATGTGCCTGCTGTGCTGTTCGCTTCTGTAAAAATGTGCGCGTAAAATACTTGCGGCTTTTAAAACTCTACAGGCTTTTCAATTGAAATTTGTCCTGAAGTCTGATGGAAAGATAGGAATTGCTGGGTCTCTTCCTGGGGGCATCTGTTGCTGGGAGGGGAGAGGAAGATCTGTGTGAACAGAATTTAAACAAAGGAAATTTTCTTGACCTTTATACTTTGAGTTATACCCTGATAAGTCCATCCCTGATGTCCCTGCTAGAGTCCAGCTTGATTTATCATTTTGCCAAGATCAATTTGTCTTTTGAGTCCTGATAAGTTAATTGAGGTTCCTCAAAGACTGTAGTTTGGTTAAAATAAGACAGAAAACAGCTGAAACCCACCAATCTCTGGTTGCAATAACCACGTTCCCATCCATGCACAGCAAGGCCCCGCGTAGTTTGCGAGGAAACAAATTACGGCAACGCCAAACGTCACTGCCACAACCTCTGAGGACCTGGATACTAAACAAGTGGCACTGATTCTTCCAGGCATCTTGTCAGTGAACACCACTTGTGTTTCATACTACTGTGTATTTATTTTAGCCAGGGATAGTTTAACTGTTCGGTTTCTTGAATTTCTTTAGGTGTCCCCGATTTCACTTTGACTTTATACTTTTGGTGTTAGCAGCAAATGTTCGTTAAGGTCTCTGAGGCAGTGTTACTGTGATGGCCAGGCTTGTAAGAGCGTAGTATCTGAGGGCTGGTTTGTTTCCTTTCATGCTCACCCTAGGATTTATGCATTAACTAAGCGCTCTAAGCTTTTAGCCTGATTGTTCCCTTACCTGGAGTAAAAGAGGAGATTTCAGGTTCACGAAATGCTGGCTTGTGTTTATCTGGCAACTTTTGCCTTCTGGATGCAGTGGGGCAATGCAGCGTTCGTGATGTGGTGTGACCTGTGCTTTTCCCTCACCTTCCAGATCCCGAGGAGTTCCTGAATCTCATAATGCATCAGATCCTGGGAGTAGAGCCACTCTTGAAACTGCAGTAAGTTTCCATATCTAAGCGATACAATTTACCCAGGCCAGGCTTGTTAGTTATCCGATCACCAGGTGCTACTTGCACCTTTTCGTAGAGGCTTTGGAGGCGCAGCTCAGTGAGTTGTGTGCAGCTCCCCTCTGCTGTCCGTGTGATCTTGCTTGTTGTGATCTTGTCTCAGGTGATGCATCCAGCAAAAGACACTTCTAAACTCTCCCTGGAGGTGCTGCCTTCAGAAAATCATGATAAAAACCTTGTCTTACCTTTAGGGAGAGCCAGCAGTGGTTTGAGAAATGTAGTGTCCGACTTCAGTGCAGAGCCAGCGCTATCTGACAGCCTTTGGATGCATTTGGGATGTGTCTAGACTGTCAAGCTGGCTCAGGTCCTGCAGCCTCTCAAACAGGCAGTCCATGGATGCAGTCCCAGTTTTTTCAGGACTCTACAAAGAGGATGAGAGGCTGAAGGAAGCCAAAAATAACTGTGCTGTTCAGGAGCATAGAGGGGGATTGTTCGGTTTCTGTGCTCCTTTGTTGAGATGTCAGTCAAGCCATAGATCGTGGAGTACTCGGAAAGGCTGAGCACAAAGACAACTCTGTACTGCAGCTCCCCTGCAGAGGGTCGTCTGAAGGAAATCCTTTCTCAGGGATGTAGGGGTTGTGGGAGATCTTCTGCACCTTTTGAATGCACCGAGTTTTGCTCTGTGGCTCTTGTACGTGCAGTTATAAATAGATCTTTCATCTGAGAATGAGTTCGCTGATTGAGCCATGGTGCAGTTGATTTGAAAAATATTGAAGTGTCTTTTAATATTTACATCGACGAGGGGAAATTGGGTTTTGCTTATAGGAGCAGGATGTGATGCTATGGAGGGATACTGAGACTGAAGATGATACTTGTGTCCTCTTCTTATGGCATGTATTTAGTAGTTCTGGGTGCTTCGTGTCAGTGTTGGGCCCAGCAGCTCTCAGACAAACCCCTCGGATGTTTGCGGCGCCACATAAACAAGCCCTGTGACCACTCCCTGCAGGTCAGGAGGCCAGGAGCAGGACTGTTACTGTCACCAGATATTTATGGACAAACAGGAGGATCTGGTGGTTCCCCACGTGCAGCAGTTAGTGGAACACTCCTTCCTGTCCTCTGATCTGAAGCTAGTGGAGGTGAGCCCAGCTACCTTCCGCCTGCGCTGCTATCTGCTGCCTCTTTCTTGTTTCCTCCAATGTACCTGTGCCTGCCAGTGAGTCTGCAGTGGGGCTAGTATGTCTTCTATCCAACACTGCAAAGCAGCAGGATACATGGCCCCAAGAGAGAGAGGTCTGGGGCAATCTGAGTGTGACCTGGGAAGAGAGCTATGTTTTCTCTGTTGCTGTTTTGTCTTGTGAATAACCAGAGCAGAAAGTCTTTACTCCCAGCAGCATTATTGAGAAGAGAGTCTCTAGGTCTTGTCTCTTCTGGCAGGCTGACTCCTTTGCTTTTCGTTTCCCAGATCCCATCATGCTTCATTATCCAAATGCCGCGTTTTGGGAAGGAATATAAAATGTTCAGCAAAATCATTCCTTCCTTGGAGCTGGATATAACAGATCTGCTGCTTGACAGTAAGTTGTTGGGCAACAGGAAAGCTGCTGGCTGGGATTGAGCAACCAGGTGGCAGGTCTCGCCTCTTTGGGTTGTGAGCAGATGTAAGGTGGGATCATGGTGTGATTCTTCTTCCCTGAACACCAGTTTTGGCAGGACAAGTTGGATTTCAAGTGAAATCTGGAGAAGACACGTCCTCTCACCTCTGTTGCCCCTGTAGGTCCCAGGGAGTGCTGCGTGTGCGGCGACATCGCCACCCTGGAGTGTTCGGAGTGTTTCAAAGATAAGGTATTTGCAGCTACGGGCCTGAAGCAGTTCTGCAGCTCCTGCTCCAGACAGGTATTCATTTTCTTTGGCTGCTCGCAAAATCGACTTTGGCAGCTGACAGCAGATCCCAAAAATACCCGTGGTTCACCTGCTGTCCCTGCAGCCGTTCAGGTTGGGCACAGAGGGGCCCCTTCCTGAGCATCAGTCCCACCGTTTGCATCAGCTGCATGAGCAGGGTTCGGTGCCACACGATATTGAACCCTTTGCTTACGTAGAGCCTAACTAAGCACTGATCCTGCGCAGACTGAGTGCTGGACCCTCCACGCTGTCTCACCAGGAGCATTCCTACAGCTTTCTGGCCTTTCTTGGGGTGTGGCAGGCTCCCATCTCAGCTTCTCGCTGCCAGCCTGTTGACGCCTCGCCATTCCCTGGTACGCAGGGAGGAGTCAGCCACGTGGGAGGAAGATCAGTGGGGAATAAACTGTGGGTCTGACCCCTGCGCACTCCTCTTTCTGACAGGCCAGGTTCAGTTCTTCCCATTCAGCAGTGCCACCCCGTCATCTCTCCTCAGGTTCACTCCCACTACCGACGCAAAACGCACAAGCCAACTAGGCTGCACGTCCCAGAAGAGTTTCAAAGCCGGAGCCCCCGGGGCAGCCAGCAGGTCCCTCGTGAGAAGATGGAGCTCTTCGCAGTGCTCTGCATCGAGACCAGTCATTACGTCTCCTTTGTGAAATACGGCCCTGAGAACGAACACTGGATGTTCTTTGACAGCATGGCTGACAGGCATGGTGAGGACATGGTGGTGGGCTCGGAGCTTTGATTGTAACCGGGTGCTGCACGGTGGGTGGCTGCGAGGGTCTGTGACGCTCGTTGTGTGGATGCTGGTCACTCCACCTTTTTCTCTGAAGCCCCCTACACGCTTTAGGCTCTCTCTGGACCCTGCTTCCAACAGTGACCGTCTAAGTAGACCCCAGAGAAGAGTACAGCCAGGCCAAGCACATGTGGGTTCCTCCCAGTGCTTTCATCCTCTGGCTGTGTTAAACAAGGGACTGGTTGAGCCAGGTGGGGCTGGCTGCCATGCAGGTGAGGACCATTCTCCTGTCCTTCCCCACTTTGTTGTTGGCCCCAAGATCTCTCAGCTAAGGCTCTACTTATTGTCGAGTGTTACAGTATCTGCTTGAGCTGTAGGTACTCATCCCTTGGGACCTGCTTTGGACTTTTCTCCTTTCTGGGTTAGGTGATGAAAACGGCTTCAACATTCCCATGGTAACGCTGTGCCCTGAAGTTGCCAAATACCTGGACTTGCCACTGGCTGTGCTGGCCCTGGAGCAACCTCGGGACATGGATGGAGTGGCCAAGCGCCTCTTCTGCGATGCCTACATGTACATGTACCAGAGCAAGAAGATGGCGCTTTACAAATGACATTTCCTTGGGCTGGTGCCGCAGGGCAGCGAGGCATTGGGAAACGTGAGCTTGGATCAACCCTGCAGCTCGTAAATGGTGAAAGCAGACGAATCTGTGGGGGCACCAAGCTTGCACTTCTGCCTCTTCTTACCTCTTCCAGTGTCTGCTATCAAGCTATCCACGTCAGCCCGTCTGCGTTCATTAAATCCTGTACCTGGCCTTATCAAATGATAGTTTGTACTCCCAGCAGACCTGGACTCTGAATTATTTACAATTTCATTCTCATTTCCTACCTTCCCTTTCCCCCTTCCTTCTTCCCCAGGCACTCTGCAGCTCTGCCCAGCCTCAGAGTCCTCTCCAGCATCCTTTTCTCCCTGCCAACCCTTCCCTCCAAAGCCGAGGACCAGCATCTAAACAAAACATGAACAGTTTATCCTCCAGGTTTGCAAGGAGCGCAAAAAACCCCGCAGCCTCGCCCTGCGTAAGACTTCCTCACGTGCACTTGTGGAGGAAGAAAACCAGGAGGCGTGAGCTGCACCGGTGTGGTTAAGAGATGGGTCAGGACGAGGGTTTTTCTTGATGGCTGGGATGTGACCCCACACCTAAAACTGGGGCCTTGAATTGTCTGTGCTTCCCGTATCCAGCACTAATACTCTGGCACTTTTACTCACCATCCCTTATTTTCAACCATGAGATTAATTGAATGTCTTAAGCTGCAAATATGCTTTAAAATTTTTTGTAAGAACAAAACTGGACGAAAGATGGAGCGGAGGAGCAACATGTGAGCTTGTTATGCTGTTTGGTTTTTTTTTTTCTTCAAAGTCTGCACTGTTGCTACATGATCAGGTGTTTTAACCTCATTTTAGCACTTACTGTGCCATCTTTCCATCTACTTCTCAGCTCTGTGCCAAAGAGCAGTAACAGAATATCAAGGGGAAAAAAAAAATGAGCACTTTTGGATTTTCTGCTGTGATTGCAGTAAGGAGTAGGGTCTCTGGGCGGAAACTGGTTATTTCTTAAGGTAAATAAAACCTGAATTTGCAAACTGGGGCTTCTCTGCCATTTAACACATGCTGTCATGGCAGTGGGAAGCTGTTACGAGTAGGGTTTCTGGGCAGAAACTGGTTATTTCTTAAGGTAAATAACCTGAATTTGCAAACTGGGGCTTCTCTGCCATTTAACACATGCTGTCATGGCAGTGGGAAGCTGTTACAGGAGTCAATGCTATGAACTGGGTTGCTCAGATTCCAGACGGGACACCAAAACCTTAAAGGGATGCGTCCAGGAGCCCCAGATGTGCAGCTGTAATCTCCCTCCTGCTCTGTTTTTTTTTTTTTTTCCCTCTGTAATGCAGGATGAAGTAATTGTAATACGCAGCCTGTAGCTTTGTATCGCTCCTGTTGGCATGGGCCACGCGTCGTTCAGGATCTTTTTTTGCTGACAGCAGGGTTGTGATGCTCACTGTGACGGCAAGAGCGTGACGGCTGTAGCAGCTTTCTGGTGTGTCTCTTATTTCTGTATGTGGTGGCCACAAAGGACAGCTGGTGTGTAATGAAACCAGAATTATTAACACACAGTTAATGTCAATTCAGCTTGCAAATGTCCTGGCTGAGCATTTGGGCCTCAACACCAAGTTGGCCATGAGGCAGCAATGTGTCCTCGTGGTAGAGAAGGCGGACAACGTCCTAGGCTGCATTCAAAGTGTTGCCAGCAGATCGAGGGATGGGATTCTTCTCCTCTGCTCAGCACTGGTAAGGCCACACCTGGAGTGCTGGATCCAGTTTTGAGCTCCCCAGTACAAGGGAGATGAAGAGAGTCCGACGAAGGGCCACAAAGATGATGGACTGGAGCATCTCTCTTATGAGGAAAGATTGAGAGAACTGGGACTGCTCAACTTGGAGAAGAGAAGGTTCAGGGGGCACCTTATCAACATCTATAAACACTTGAAGGGAGGGTGCAAAGAGGACAGTGCCTGGATCTTCTCCATAGTGTCAAGTGACCAGACGCGCTGGGCATAAACTGAAACACAGGAGGTTCCCTCTGAACATCAAGAAACACATCTTCACCACGAGGTTGACAACACTTCTTCACCAGGAGGGTGACAAGCCCTGGTACAGGTTGCCCGGAGAGGTGGTGGAGTCTCCATCCTTGGAGGTACTCAGAATGGTTCCAAGCAAAGCCAAAGCACCAGCAGTTGAAGAGTCAGTCTAGGGTTAGAAGAGTTGATGGTAGATCTAGCAATGAAGCATCCCAAGGATGGGTTTATCCTGCTCGTGAACTGATGTACGGACCTCTGGCTGATCCTCTGTGGCCGTGGAGAGGGCTGAGGGGCTGGAGGATACTGCTGTCTGGCTGTCTTTCTCCACCTACTTAAAGTTACTCTTCATTCCTTCTCTCCTAAGAACTCAAGACGATCTCTACTCAGGTACGCTGGGGCTTGGGTTCTTACATCTCTGGTGCTTCTGCTCTAAAAATTTAAGTTTTAATAACAAACTGCTCTTGGTTTTCCTGGAGGTTTTTTTTTATTTATTTCTCTTAAAATGCTAAGTGTGATACAGTGCCCACAGCTGGAGCGTTGCAACAGGGAGCTCCAGCCTGTTGGGGTTTTTTTAGAAACAAGAGACCATCAGGCCATGCTTCATTAAGCTCTTTTAATTATTTTTTTTTTTCCCCATCAAGAAGATCTAAACCACAGCTTTTCCTTGGAGGGTGTGGAAATACAGGAGCAGGGTTGGTGTCTGGGGATACGCAGCTGCATCTCCCTGGGCATTTCCCTCATGCCCACCCTCACTGCACCGTTCTGCTGGGTGCCTCAGTTCTGGGTCTGTACATTTTAGAAGCTCAGGGGAAAGGGTTTACTATTTCTCTGTTACAGATTTGGGCAGGATTAGAGAAAATATGCATGTTTCGGAGAAGACTTGAGCTGTGCAATTTTTTTTCCATTCCATGCAACAACTTTTCTTGACCCTGTTTTGATAAAAGTCTTCAAACAGTCAGTGCCTGGGTGTGACACAGACCCCCCCCCATGGAGCTACAAGGGGGTTTTCACTGGAATTAGGGTCGTAAGATGCCACAAAATGGGGCTGAGGCACCTGCTGGGGCCACCCCGACGGTCTCAGGGATCAGCTGTTGCTTTTCATTCCATCTTTATTCAGTCATAAACCATGGCGTGAAGTGAAGGACGTCGAATTAAATGGTCAAGCTGAAGTGAACGAGTGTTTTGAAGGACAGGGCAGCCATGTGGTATGGCCGTAGCCGTAGTAGGTAAAGGCCTTTATTTCATTTGTTGCTTAGGAAGAAGTTAATTTTGGGGATTAGTGCCACACTTCCTCTAGGAACGTCACGTTAAGAGAGTGTAGGCGTCAGCCTGAAACCAGCATCAACCTGGAGCTGACCTCCACACCTCAGGGAACACATACCAAATGGAAAGAGAGAAAATGTGGCCACAGAGCCAAAGCCTAGAACAGGAAGCGCCAAGTGTGGCTGCCACAGATGTCCTACAGGTTAAGGGATGGGCTGGCCCTTCCCATGGTGAACCCCTTCTTGTGCATTCAAGACTTGATCTCTAGTGCCATCGAGGGGTTTCAGCATAGGCTGCCACCACAGAAGGTGCAGGGCTGGCAGAAAG